TCAGACGGGAGCTTATCCCGGGTTCTGTAGCATGAAGCGACTAGGAATATTTCTTCTCCTCCATCAGCTCCCTAGATGTAGCGTGCGAGCAGGCTCACCTTTGAGTCACACGCGCGAGCGGGCGCCGGGCGAAGAGCAAAGCGATCCGGCGGGAAGGAGTCTGGCGTCTCGCGGCTTCGCCGCTCGATTTCGCGCTCGCCGCTATGCCGCGCGCGCTCGTGCTTCAACGTGGGCTACCCATCGCAGGGTTACCCCCAGCATTTAACTCTCCGGCACTGTGAGAGTAAAGTGTCTTCCCCAAGAACACAACACGATGTCCCCAGCCAGGGCTCGAACCCGGAATACTCGATCCGGAGTCGAGCGCACTAACCATGAGGCCACCGCGCCTCTACAAGGTATAGGTATAGAACGAATGCGTCACGAAGAGAGTCTCCGACGCTTACTTTTCACTAGCCCCCAGTCCTTGGTAGTGATCGCTCGCACTTTGCGCAAGAGAGAGCCAGATCAGAGGCATTTTTCCGCTACCGGTAAATCGCGCTCAAAATCCCCTGCTTCGATCACGCAAAGCAAATACGGTTTCCCCCCATGTGAGAGCAACTACAATAGACAACCTGCAAAGACTCATTTGACCTTAGTATGCTGTTGAAATCTTCTTTGCATTCATGTCAAGTCCTCAAAGAAGTCTAGACGACGAAACCTAAGATATACATGTGCTTAGCTTCAAAATACTTTTCCTTGCCTCGAGGGAAGATAAAAATACCGAAGAAAAGTGCGTCCCTCTCAAACTAGGATATACCGATATGCAACTTTTCCGGAACAAAATCCAAGTCAATATTTTCAACCCTATTTTTAGCCCGGAACTCTCGGCAATGCACTTGCTGTAATTTTTCGCGTGCTTTCCGGCTCGTTATGATCCTCAAAAATCCCGAGATTTACTATCATTCATCACTGGACCCTTCTTCAATTACGGTACGTCATAGCTCTGTAATTTGAACGCGATTTGAAACTGCAATGATCGTTTTGCGAGCAATCTTGATGAAACCGGACTGCTCTTGTGAGTAAAGATTACAAGCTCTCAAAACTGATTGAGGCATTTTCTGGTGGTTAAGGACCTGGAAGATGAAAAACACAGGTTGTTTTCCCTACCGCCCGTGACAGAGACCACGTCGAAGACATTTCTGTGCGTTGTAGAAGCTAACGCTCTATTAACAACATCAATAGGTGAGTCGAGTTACCTTCGTTATTTCAAACAGGCAAGGACCTATTTTACACGGGAAACTGCTTTCAGGTTTCTTCTCTCGTATCACGTTTCTGTTGCGCAAATTTGACGTAAAAACTCCTTTCGCAACCGTGTATGAGAGAATCGTACCAGAATAGTTCATTTTTTTCCAGCTTTGGAACCTCGAGCTTAAGTCAGTCCGAAACAAGCAGCGTACAAACCGGAAATTGGCTTTTATTTGCTGTAATATTTGAACCAGAACGTTGGATTTGAGCTAGCTTGCTTTGTGTACTCTCTGAAACAATTTTGATTTTTCCTCTAGCAAACACATGCTGGGGTTTGTAATTTCTTCCAAAGCACGGTGGTCTTGTATCCGAAGCGAAATAAGTGATTGTGTGATAGATACGCTAGTCAATTAGCGGTAGGTACACAATTCAATTTTAGCTCTTCTTACTATTATTGTTGTTAACAAACGAGTTACCTCGTAGCCGCGGAATCACGCATAAACCTTTGATGAATTCCAAGCGTGGTTTCGTAAATCATCATTTTAAATCTAGCTCAATGCATTTTAATCGTCTTTCGCTTCTACGGGGCGTAATCTTAAGCTTTGTCAAGTCTTTTTAACAGAGAGATATTGCTTCATTTCATTTACATCGTTTCTTAAAATACCGCGCGGTGATTTGTTTTGGTTCTAATATCGCCCGGCACATGTGCTAACTCAATTAGAACATGAAGAAAATATTGAAATCACGTCAACCAGCCGCGTCAGCGGCGATCACGAATCCACCGAGGGAATATCGCTCTGATAATCGCGCTCTGTTTGTTTTAATATTCCATTTAAGTTAATAAGCTATATTTTTGTCTCCGGTTTGAATAGACATCATAAACGTCTTTGTTCAAATAATTACCTACTCACTTCACAATGCACCTTAATTCGCATGCTTAGTAGTTTTAGTGCTCAAAAGAACAATGTTTACTTTTGCTATATAAAAAAATTAACATCAGAGTTAATTTTGGTCGCCACCAACATTATCGGAAAGGTGAATACTGTACTCTAAAAGGACCTAAAAGACTTCAAATCAAAATGGCGGCTTAGGTCCCGGGCGAGGGTGAAATCTCCGGCAAATATTGAAAGAGGCAGTACCATATCCGTCTAAAATGCCGCATCTGTTTTGTATTAACCGTCCTCTTCGCTGTAAAAATAATTTGTCGAAATCCCTGGCTGCTATTAAGTAGGATTAGACAAAAAAAACTGAGAATACAACTTAGCTCGTCTGTCTTTTTAAACCTTATTTCCGGCGATCGCGCCGGAGTCAACCCATTGTTCCGTATAGGGGGTGACTGCTAGACTTTAAATACGGTAACACACACTATAAAAACAGCAAATACAATTATATTAAAATAAATGAGCTAGAAATGAACTTAAACTTAGGAAATAGCAAGATTTTTTGCCAGCTTTGTTATAAGTTTGCATTTGGACAAAAAAAATGCAGAAAATGTTCCACCACTTACCACGAAGGAAATGCGATGACAACGCTGACAGCCTCTGGTTCAGTTCGTCTATTGTAGATTGAGTAGAAACACTGAAGAATGCTGTCCTTATCTAGTAACTGGATATTCACACAAGATCAAAACACATTTGCAGAAATACGATTTCTGTTGAGATTTGATAATGTTGCATATTTGTCCCAAAAGCTTTTCCAAATCTTCGTTATTAATCTGAAAAAATTAGGAGTTTGAAGATTCGAGGCAGCATAAGCAGCTCAGCAGGTTAAAACGATATTCAAGACGAGGTGAATTTGTTTTAAAATACGCATGTAAACCTTTCACCTTGCAGTAATTTTGCTTCAATTTGTTGCGATGATCTTATCGACATTTTCTGTCCTTTTGAAAAAGGCAAGATACTTCTTACTCTCAAGAACTTTCTTCAGTCAAAAGGCAAGGTCAAGTTCTGTTTATATTGTGTGTACACTCCCATCTAAGACTGCCTTAATCGATATAACGTGAAATTAATTCCTTGGCAGTATCCTTCTCTTGAGCTTTCCCAAGACACGTTTGCTGTTGTTGTTGTTGCTGTCGTTGTTTGGAAATTATCAGAATTCCGGCTGAAAATTTCTGACTATTCGAAACTTCTACCTATTCACGTCCACCATCGTGGACAACGTTTAATACTGCGCATGCTTGATGAACCCAAAGGTTCACGCTTCTAGTGAGGTGGAACGAATGCTCAGAATATGTTAAGAGTTTTGCACATCCACGTAGCCTGTGAGCAGACTCCCGTGTTTGGGTTGGGAGAGCGAACGGGGAAGAGATATGCACGTGAGACGAGGCGAGCCAGCTCACGAAGCGCGCCGGCGAGTCTAGTAGTTTCTAAGCCCCCTTCCCTTTCACGTCGTCCTTAAACTCGCTCACTCAGAAAACAGCGCTTGAGTGCAAAACCCCGACACTAGAGTCTTTACTAGGAAAGCGGTGTCAGTTTTCAAACGAGTAGCTCTGGGCACTGAAGGGGCCGATATCCGGACGAGGAAGAATGGAACTCCTTTGACCCGGAAAGAATTTGTATTTCCAGACTGGTCAATGGTCGAACAGGCTTATTTTGTTATGTCATCCTAACCCTGGCTTTTGTTGTAGTAAATTGATTGCATTAGTTTTCAACCGTTCTGTTTTCTCACCTCGCACACAGCAATGACGTCTGAGGAAGAAACGGAGAAAATGTCGGCGCAAATAACCAGCGAGGAAGGAAAGACTCCGCCTTCACCTGAGTAAGTGAATTAGAGCAATACTTTTATCGAAAATATAGAACATACCTATTCGTTTAATAGCTTAATTTAGAGTCTTGACTGATCATTAAGAAAGAAAAGTGCAAAGAATATGTATGGCTGTATTTGTGGGAAATTGGAGCGATTTTCGATTGACTGTAAATATTAAATGTGTTTTCTTTGGTCTGACGTTTTACAGTCGCTCTAATTCAACGTTCTCTAGCCAAGAAAAGATGTTTTCCAGTCAACCAGTCACATGTAAGAGGCAAAACCAAAACCAATCGTGGCGCAGCGTTCGCGAGTTTTCCCGCGTTTAGCGCGAGAAGCATGTTTCCACTTCAGTTTCTGATTGGTTCATTCTCTTTCTGCCTTGTTGTGATTGGACATGTGCAAAAGAGTGGTTTACTAATCTGTCTTTATCGAAAACCAAAGTTATGAGATCTGACCATCACAACAAAGGGAGATGTCCCAAGGAACCAATCAGAAATCGAAGGAGAAACACGAAAACACTCCAAACGTGGGAGAACGACATAAGGCACTTAGGCAATTTGAAACCTTCCTAATTCATGGAGCCCCAAAAGTGATAAGCAGCTTATTTCTCGTCATAATGTCAATGCATACGAAGCGTGCAGGTAAGAAGAATTAAAGAAAGGATCACTCAAAGAGAAATTAACAGAAGATGAAAAATAGATCTCCTAAATAGCTCTATACCACTTAGGAAAAGTTTTAATTTGATATTGGCTCCACTATTGTGGACGTTTTGCTGCAGCTTTCTGGAAAGGGATTTATGTTCCACACGAGGGTACACGAGAATTTGAAATTCCCCAAGTTTACAAATTGATATCAAAACCATTTGTGTACAAGCGATAATCATGATGGCAACCCTTTACTTGGGTTTTCAACTGAGGGTCGTAAAGCCAAAACCAAAGTAATCACTCTCGCCAATCACAAAGAACACAGACAATCCACTGAACAAATTAAGGCACGAACTAGATACATGTAGCTGACGCGAGGCCCGGGAAAACGCGCGCGTGTGAGTAAGTCACGATTGGTTTTGGTTTTGGATCTGATTGGATAACAAAGTGGCGTAAGTTTTTTCAAGCCAATCGGGCGCTGGGCGTAGTAATGCAAAACCAAAGCAAATCCGAAATACTTTCTACACCCAAGTGAAAAACGCTCTAATGGCAGCAGTGCAATAGTATATAGTGATTTTTGACGAAACTTAACAATTGTCTTTACATTTCCGTTGATGTAAATAAGTCTTTTTTTAGCTTTTGACTTTTCGAAGTTATGTTATGACAGTGACAGACATGACAGTGTTCCTTTAAAATATTAACAGAGCTTCGCCGCTTACGTTCAAACATTCAGCCTAATATTTTTCTTGCTTATCTTCCGCAATCCGTCTCAATCTTCCTTTTTTACAATCTCGACACTTTTTTGGTTTATTTTTTTCGCCTTTGTGTTTGCATTTACTGTTGCTGAAGTGAACGTATGTACACACGCTAGCCATTGACTCACGACACATTACGTGCAGATAAGTTGGTTACAACAATACAGTCATCAACAACCGAATGACTGACTTGCATTCAGAAATCCAATTTCCTTTTTGCGCGGACATGTCTACACGTAGGTTGCTGTAACAACAGCTGTCATAAAAAACATCGAGAAACATACAAAGGATGCTAGTGAAAATATTGTGAAGGGGTACGTTGCCTGTCAGCATGTATACACTATCAAGGCCAGTTGACCCGACTCCAAATAAAATCATTCGAAATTAAAATTTGTTCTCATTATTTTACGTTTACTGCGTTTTTAAGAATTTTATTGTCTGAGCACAAAGGAATTCTTTGTAGCCTTTAATTGCAATCCTCATTCCGGGACAATCAGAGCGCTTTTTATTAAACCGATTTCTACCTCATGAGAGACCGTCAAATGCAGCGATGTCACTTCTTTAAATCGCTCCTTAGGTGTGAAACTTCTCCCTGCAACTGTCAAGTAAAAACTCTGATCTTCGCAAGTGGATGGCAATATCCGAGTAAAAGAGTTAAAATGAAGACGTGTTCATGTAGATTAGAACAAAAGTCAATATTTATACTGGTTTTAGAAAGGTACATAATCATTTACCAACTGGTCAGATACTTTAAGCGACGGTTGGAGCCGGGACGTTTTTACTGCAGAAAAAAGACGCGCTTTACTTCAAAAGGTCGTTGTTTTCGGAAAAAGGCCTTTCTCACGTAAATTTAGTTCTAGCAATTTTAAGTTGTAATTACCAGAAGGACTCTACTTTTACGAGGTGAGACACTCTCGGAATTCTACGGTACACAGTTATGACTAAAAACAAACACTGTCAAAAATCTCTTTGTCAAACAACTCCAGAGCAGTAGTTTTCTGTCGATCTATTACATGTAATGACACGAATTCTAAAATGTCCAAAACAGAAACCTTTCAATTTACAGTTGAGAAATCCCTGACAAATCTGTTATTAGGAGTCGGCTTTTTTCTGAGCAAAAAGAGGACAGCCCCGATTTTCGATTTTTGTCTTCGTGGGAAAAAGACTGGGTCCTAAGTTTCTATGTTTAGTTTGGACACCAGCTTGTTGACCCATAGTGACCTTGTTACAAGGCAAAGAGAATATGCGCGAATTTTCCCACGACTCAGACGAGTTGCTGACGACTCGAGGAAATTACTAAACGAAATGGAATGGGTAAGTGTGTTTAACCAGAGAAAGCCAAATCTTGCATATTGTAGATGAAACTGCTAAGAAAACAATCTATACAAGTAACTGAGGAATGATTTTTCTTGGATGCCCAGGTGGCAAATTTGTAAACTTAAGTAATTGGTCATGACAATAACACGAGGCAAGAACTAAATTAATATCTTGTAGCAGGAAAGAGTATTTAACTTTGTTTCGCAACGCTCAGCGTTCGGTTTGTCTATCGACTTCCTCCACAACAGAAACAGTAAGTAAACGTTTACGAGTTATTCGACTCAGTTTAACTCTTCCCGGACTCTCAAAATTGATCAAAATCTAATGTTTCCTTACCATATGAACACGTTGTCATGTATACAGTTAATGAGAATCTCGCGAATCATCAAATTGGAGATACTGCCTCGAAAGATAAGCAGGTTCTTCGAAAAGAAATGTTTGGAACTCAGAAGGGGAATTAAGTGTGGGCTTGGCGGGAAAGGGGTTTAACAGGCAAGTTAACTTGCTACACAAATTGGATTTCTTTAAGTAATGGCATCAGCTCAACCCTGTTAATTTATGACCTGAATACACAAGTTCATTGTTATTCAGTTATTGTCTGTAATTGCAGTCTTATTCTGATAAATTTAATTCGTGTAAAGACCGCTTTTAACTTAAGTTACTAATACTTCTTTTTTAAACATGGCTTAATTAAATTACGTAATCCACAGTTGATTTTGCACCTTAAAATTGTTATTCAATTTGTGTAAGCTAATTTGCCAGACTTTGTACCACCCTTGGCGCTGACTGAATCCGTAACCTTTGTTATTTCGACGAACATTAAATCAAAATAAGTGTTAATTAAATAACGCAAAGCTTTGCCAACAAACAATGCGTGTTTATAATCGGATAGCTGTGAAGCTTTAGGCCAGTCCGTCACTGTCTGATGCAAAAGACTTGCAGTCTCCATTGCTACTATACATCTACACATAATATATAAAGTTTGTAATATCATTTTCTCCGCGCGTCATTGGTCAGGATACGTCACGTGACGAGACACGCGACGCCACTTTCGGTGCCTCAGCTCATTCGGAAATTAAAGACTATTTTTGAACTGGAAATCGATCAAGCATTACCAGACGATTACAAACCTGAAAATTATTCCCTGAAGATTTTAAGGTGGCTTAAAGCAGTTTCCAGCAGTTAGATTTTGATAGGTCATTATTACCACTCTTTATCACTTGATGCTACAGTCATGGTATCAAAAAGACGCTTTGCTGCGTGTACCCAGGCAGTCGTTATACTGAGAAGCAATAGCTATATTGCAATTGAGCTAAATGTTCTGCATTTGAAGTTGTACGAAATTCAATCGAATTGATGTGCTTAAGCTATTCTGCTTTTGATTGCATTTCTTGGAATCGATTAATAGCTTATTACTCGTTTGCAAGTCTTTAGGGTGTGAAATGAGTCATGGTCTTTATATCAACCTATAAACGTTTCAGTCTATTTTCCTTAGCCTTTGTCGTTGTTATTTGCGTTTCTCAAGCAAGCGAGACATTTTGAATTTCGTAGTTATAGCGATGCGTGACATAGACCTACGAACGCGGTTGTCGAAATCATATACTTATCTCGTGATTTTTAGGCCATTTAGAAGATAAAGTATTAGGAAAAGTGCTTATGTAAATGCTTGTTTGTTCAGTACAGATAATCAGTCGCCTAGATAGCCAAAGTAAGTTCCAGAT